ACCCTCAATCATCGCCTTCACAAGTTCAACTCCTCGAGAGGCATCTTTGAACGGAATTTCGAGAACATTATTTTTTTCATTTCCACCCACCTTTAAAAAAGTTTTTGAAACTGCAATTTTTTTTCTTTTTTTTCGGGGATTTTTGGACCTGATTTGGTCAATAAAACCTTTGAGAAACCGTTTTTTGCCAGAATTTTTTAAAAATTATAACTTATTGAAATCGCTATTTAAGTAATTTTTACGCTATGATACACCGCAAAGCCGGCAAGCTTCACGTAGTTCAGCTGGAAAAAAGCAAAAGGTGTCATGAAATGATTTCTAGACCTTGTAGCAAAAAAGCAAAAAGGATCAAAAAGACTTACGCACCAGTGGGAGTCGAACCCGTGACCTCTAGATTCAAAATCAGGCGCGTTAACTAGTCGGCCACGCGCGCACAATTACAGAGGAGGGGTGGATGGCGTATAAGAAGGGGCGCGGAAAAGGGGAGCGGAGGGGAGCAGGAGGGTAGGCGAGATTAGGGGATAACTACCGTAAAACCTGTATTAGAAGGGCCCCTTTAATAGAAGGGCCCCCTTCACAACATGTCATGAAATTGTAAAATTAGTGAAAAATGTTCCGGGAACTCCACAATTTAATAGAAATCTGTTGAAACTCTATTTTTTGCTCAAAAACTTGATTAATTTTCGTGAAATTGACAGATTTCCATGACTTTTGAACGAAAATTCGTCGATTTTTTTTGATGAAAATCTTTGGGAAAAATGACCGGAAAAATAGAAGGGCTCCCTCTGATTGAAGGGTCCCTGTAATAGAAGGGCCGGCCCTTCTAATACAAGTTTTACGGTCACCTGTAAAAATAGAGCCTTCTAACTTTGATTCAATTTATCTCGATTCCTATAAAAGATATCAAGAAGTTGTTAACTATTGAATTGTTTTTTAGATTACGGGGCACATTTTGTTAATTGACCAATTTTTGTTATCTAGAACAAGAGCTGAGATAAACTAGGTCGAATCTAGAAGCATTAATCTTCTTGATGTTATTGTTAGAGAAGCTGTTTAAGCCTATAAAAGGGTATTTTTAAGCTTCAAAAAGCCTTTGAGAACCTCTAAAACCTTTTTTCAACCTCAAAAAGCCTCGAAAAACTCAAGTAAATCCTTCCATTTGTATTCTGTCGCTCAAAAACATAACCAATTTTCTTTTTTCCCATTCTTCCACACCCTAGAGACATTCCTCTATCCGTTTTGACATTTGGTGTCCGTCAATCATAAAATTCTGTCGGTTATCCAATTTCGGCGCCTTTTTTCTCGCGTTTTTTTGCGCCTAAATGGTCCCGTTTTTCAACATTTTCAATTAGCCAAAAGTTGTTAATAGCAAGGATATCCAATTCTCGTTTATTTAGGCATGAAGAATACATAAAAGAGAGCGGCGGTATGGTAATTGAGACGAATGTATTAGTACCCCCTGGGGAGGTTGCGCCTATTTGACACCTCCACAGCTGGATACTCCGCCCCATTTGCTTCTGTGTGTCCCGTTTGGGTCAGTTTTATTGGTGACAGATGGAGGATGTTGTATGGTTTGCTTGTATTCCTTTTGTGTAACGTTGCGACAGTTGAGACACTTCAAAGTCACATTTTGTGTTTATATATATTTTTTCCTGTGATTGTAACTTGACAGAAATTAATTAGAAATTATAAACCAAAACTTTTTCTACATTTTCCAACAGAAACCAAATTTCTAGCTCAATTTTGAGGCGAGTTATGATTGAATTTGCTCCAAGGACGCAGTCGGCGAGAGGTGATGAGCGCGAGCGCGGCCTCGCAGCAAATATGGCCATAAATCGCTTCAAAATTGAGCTAGAAACTTAATTTTTGTTGCAAAACGAAGGAAAAATACGCATAATTTAGCCAATAGGAAATTAATTTTGAACAATTTTAGTTGAAAACAACCAGCTTCGAATCCTTGGAAAAGTAGTCCAGAATTATTAGATTTACCTGAAATTTTCGGAATGCATTAAACAAAAGTAGGGCTTTGATTTTGTAGTTGACAACTTTTTTGTAGCGTTGCTGGCTTTTTGAGATACGCGCCTTTAAAGATGGGAGACGCTACAGTACAAGTGAGAAGGTGGATAAGGTATTTTCAAAGGCGCGTATCTCAAAAACCGAAAAAGCTAGAAATAAGTTGTCAACAACAATATTAAAGCTCTGATTTCGTTTTGTATACTCTGAAATTTTTAGGAAAATCGGAAAATTCTGGATTATTTCTGTGGAGCTTCAAAGTTTACTATTTTCTGTAGTTTCCAGATTTTTAATATTAAATTTTCAGTAAGACGAGCGATTTTGAAAGTAGTTCACCTCAAATTTTTAAACATAATTATACCGAATCTCGTAATCTCAAAACAATTCCGAAAAAAAAATTCCTGTTTCAGAAGAAATTTTTGAATTTTTGCTTAAAAATTTTCGAGAATGTAAGAAATGCCGAACTCCTATTTTGTAACACTGATTATAAACAATTCTGAAAAAAATTTGTTTTTTTTTAAATCTCATTTTTCTAAAAATCCCAAAGATCCCGAAATTTTGAAATTTTATTTTTTTTTAATCGAAAAAGACGGAAAACTTTCCAACATTTCGATTTTGATTAGAAGAGGGGCGGGGCATTGTAAAAATTCAAAAAAAACTTACTTCAAAAAAGGTATAAATTACTGTTTCGATATTCACTGAAATCCCAAAAACCCAATAACCTAATTGTGAGGGTCCCCCAATTTTGAGCAAATTTATCTCGTGTCTTGTAAGAGTTATCAAAGAGTGCTCAATTGATAAAATGTTTATCATTATATCAGAACTAGTTTATCAGTCGATTACTTTTTGATATTTTTTACAGGAAGAGGAATGAATTGGTTCAAAGCTAGAGATGAGTTGAGCTCCGTAGCCGCCGACCACTGACCCTACCAACTTTGACCCAGTGTGTCTCGTTTCCAATGAGAAATATCGAAAAGTGGCCAACTAAAAAAATGTTTATCATAATATCACTAATATTTTATCAGTTGACTGCTTTTTTTATATCTGTTTTATGGAACCCATATCCAGAAAGAAATCGCTGTTTCAAAATAACCACTTTTTGGTCCATATTTATGTGACTTCTGTTTTCAAAAATATTTTTCTGTGCTACGCAACACTACTTATAACACGTCTCCCCCTAATCCCTAATACTCATCCTTACACATAGTAAGATGGTCCCTGACCATCTGTCAGGTACATTCAGAATATGAATAGAAGTGACTTACGTAAGAGCCCCCTTATAAGATGTTTGGTACAAGACACCACCTATTTATTCAGAAGAAACGAGGCTAAATGATCTCTCAAAAGTGAGGGATCTGCTCTGTCTGTCTGTAGCACTTTACAAACTGAAAATAAAGTACAGTAACTTTTTTTGAAAATCAATTTTGAGTGGACCAATTTTTTGAATTTTTCCGACTTTAATAAAATATTACAGTTTCAATGAAGAATGGAGTTTTAAGTTTAATGTTATAGTGAATATGTGATAGAAGTCGGCAAACATTCTTTTTAGATTAACTGGAGACTTGGTCCAAAACATGGTCATCAAAATGCACAAAAATTGGAAAATACAGTAGTCCGGACTCCTAGTCAACTTTGTCAACTTTGAAGTCCTACAAAAATGGTCCATAATTTGATGATTAGTATGAAAATTTGAGAATATACTAAACAAGAATAGAACTTCATTTTTGTAGTTAAACACTGTTTTCTACCAACCGTACTTTTTTCGATATGCACCTTTAATCTTTGTTGGTTCACAGCAGTGTGCCTTATCGAAAAAGATTTTCCGATTTTGTCGACAAATTTACCTGACAAATTATCGATAAATTTGTCGATAAAAAACGATAAAATTTTGTCGACAAATTATCGGTAAATTTGTCGAAAGTAATTTATCGACAAAATTTTGTTGACAAATTGTCGATAAATTTGTCGAAGGGGGCATTTTTCGACAAATTATCGACAAAAAATTGCTATTAACCGCCGGACTTACTTGTAAAAAATCGTATCTCATATTTTTTCTAGGCCATCTGACCTGGTGGCCTAATATTTCCAACATGAATTTTCTAGGCCACCAAAATTTTTGACCTGAAAATGATCTGATGTTAACATGGTGCGTTTTTAAGCCATTTTCACATGGTGGCCTAACTTTTGCAATATGAGTTTTCTAGGCCACCAACCTTTTTGGTCTAGAAATGTTCAGATATTCACCTGGTACGTTTTCTGAGCCATTTTGGGGTGGTGGCCTAACTTTTTCAAGTTGAGTTTTCTAGGCCACCAACTTTTTTGGCCTAGAAATGATCAGATATAAATCTGGTTTGTTTTCTAGGTCACGTTTACATGTTGACCTAGAAAAGTCAACTTGCGAAAGTTAGGCCACAATGTTAAAATGACCTAAAAACAAACCAGGTGAACATCAGATCATTTTCTAAGGCAAAAAAAGATGTGGCCTAAAAATTCGTTTCGGGAAAGTTAGGCCACCAAGCCAGATGGCCTATAAATTTTGCATGGGTAACTTTGGCCATCATCCAAGACGTCGTAGGAAAAAAAAGTGGTAACGATACGGTTTTTTACAAGTAATTCCGGCGGTTCATATCAATTTTTGTCGACAGTAATCAAACACACTAATTGAAACTTTTTCGGATTTTTCTTCAATTTTTGAGTGAAACAGTGAAAAAGTTATTTCAGTAATTGAAATTCAGAAATTCAGAAATTCAGAAATTCAGAATTCGAAAAAATTATATTTTTTTTTCTGTTTCTTTCAATGTTTCTTTTTCCAAAAATTTTTATCAATTGATATAATTCATGTTGTCTGCAGTATTCTTTCTGATTGCTCATTCTTATCCAAACACCTTCCTCATTATCATAAAAATGATAATTTATACACATATAATTATAATTATTATTATGGGTTCCCCTGTTTTCCCTATTTTCCAATTCCGCGCATATTTATTATGTCTTCCTCCTTGGTTTTCCCGAAAATCGTTTCAGGTAACCAGTAAATTTACATTTTCCCTCTTTCAGAAGAAAAATCTCGTTGATTCCATCTTATTTTTCTGATTCTACGACACGGAAAATATTATTATTCATTCCTTATGAATATTCTAGCTACAGTAATCCCATTGAATAATATGGATATAGGAATATGGGCGGTGCCTCTGGGTTTTTGGAAATTTTAGGACTCCTGGATTTTTTAGAATCCTAGAAAGCTTTCAAAGATTTTTTACACACTCTAAAACCTGTAATAGAAGAGCCCCCACACTGCCAACTTTGTCCGCATTCATCTCGGTTACTGTATTTCAGCTTTGAAATTTTATATTTCGGTTACTGTAAGAGATTTCAAAAAGTGGTCAACTGATAAAATGTTTATCATAAAATTAGAAACATTTTATCAGTTGACACGTTTTTGATATCTCTTACAGTAACCGAGATAAATTAGGTCAAATTGGCGGTGTGGGGGAATTTTAGGTTTTGGAAATTTTCAGGATTTTTATGATTTTCGGTTTTTTCCATGGTTTTTTAGATTTTCAAGAATTTTTCTAAACTTTCGTGATTACTGTAGTTCTTTTAAAATAAGAAACCAGACGTGTTTCCCATTGAATTATGCTAATTTTTCTACCCTATTTCTCTATTTCCTACCGACAGGTGTCCCAAAAAAAAAACACAATCTGGCTTGCGAAATTCAAGGATAACCGTAGTTTTCAATTTTTGAGAATCTCAAATTTTTTTGCTGTTTCAAAATTTTTTCCGATTTCTGAATTTTCAATGGCTTTGATCTTTGGTCGGTAATTATGGAACTTTTTGAATTTTGAACAATTTATATTGTAATTAACCAATTTCAGATTTCTATTTTTTGCTGAAAATCATGACGGACGGTCCACAACTCAAAAAATTCCGGATTTGGAATCCAGCAATTCAATCCGAAAATCATGAAGAATCAGAAGAACGAAAAACGAATTTGACGACTCAAGACGAGGAGAAACCATTGGATTGTACGTCGAAAAATGGACAATTTCAGTTGCCAGAAGTTTTTCAGGTACAGTAATCCTTTTTTCTGGAAATTCAGAGATTCAGAAATTTTCCTTTAAAATAATTTTTTCTCGAAATTTTTCAAAAAATCGCTGTTTCAAATTTGCACGGTCCCGACACCCAAAACTTTAAACAATGCTTCTTTTAATGATGAAATCTTGAAAATTCGAAAATATTTTTTTAAAAAACCATCGAAATGCGATTTGAGGTTCCTGAAATTCCAAAATTCAAATTTTCGAATTATCGACAAAAAAAATACTGTTTCAAAATTTTCAAAATCAGAAAATTAAATAAATATACAATGATAGTTATAGCTTACCAATTTTTCAAAACTTGATGTTTCAAAAACTTTTTTCAAATTTTCGAAGTTTTTCAAACTTTGTGTTTCAATCAATTGCGACGTAATTGACTAAATAAAGCACTGTTTCAAAAATGTTTATTTTTATAAGACTTAAAATTTCAGAATTATCTTCAACTGGCTCCTTTAATGCTCCGCCTCCAACAACAGCGTCAAATGGAAGAATTGGCACGACGCCAATTCTTTTCGCAAATTTGCCACGTGGCACCGATTCCGCCAGTAGCCTCTCAGAATCCCAGAATCCCACGAATGACGTCATCTGCGACGTCTTCTAAAAATTCTGGAATACCTCTTCAGATGACGAATCCTCTAGTGGCAACTGCTCTTGGAAACTCGGTGGTCAATGAGAATTGTTGTGCAGTTTGTGGAGCACAATTCAGGTATACTGTAGCTTTTTTGAAGATTACTGTAGCTAGGGGTTTTTGAAAAAAGTGCCAAAAAACAGCCATTAAAAGTCAAAAATGGAATTTCTGAATTTCTGAAGCTATTTCTAAGGATTACTGTACCTCTTTTTGGGAATACTGTAGTTATACTTTTTGGGATTACTGTAGCTAGATTACTGTAGCTACTTTTTTTTTGGAATTACTGTAGCTCTGCTAGTATTACTGTATTCTTTTTTCGGGGACTACTGTAGCTCTGCTTGGAATTACAGCATTGCCTTTAGGATTGCTGTATCTATTCTAAAGTTTTACTGTTTTTATGCTTGAGGATTACTGTAGCTGCTATTTTCAGGGATTATTTCCGCTCTGGACTACTGTAGCTATTTTAGTGGATTACTGTAGTTTTTATGTTTCTGTATCCTACTTTTTAACGGTTACTTTAATGGCTATTTTAAGGATTACTGTAGCTCCTTTGAGATTATATCATCTTTTTTGAGGATTATTGTAGTTTTTTGGGACTACTGTAGCTAATTCTGGGGATAACTGTAGCTACTATTTTCGGGGGATTACTGTAGATTTTTATTGTAGTTCTTTTTAAGGATTACTGTAGCTGATTCTGAGGATTGCTCTTTCAAGATTACTGTATTTTCGAGGATTACTGTACCTCTATTTCTTTCAGATTGACTGGAGACCTGGTTCAACACATGCGAAACAATCATCGAAAAACCAAGTTCAAGAGAAAAGCGGATTTTCATTCGAAAAATTGAAATTTTCTGTATTTTTGCAGTTCAGAATGTTTTTTGTGACTTTTTGAACAATAGAATTTTCCTTGAAAATAAAGATTTTTAGTTTAATTTTTTTGATTTTCGAAAAAAAAAATTACAGTTTCAAATTAAATTTTTGGAAATCGATTCTGGAATTTTATTCGATTCGATGAGAGTTGTATCCTATATAAAAATTTATAGAAAAAAATTGGACTATTTTCAGACAAAAAATTGAAATTTAACAGAAAAAAGAAGTCACTGTTTCAAAGTTTGTGTATATAAATTAAAAATTGTGTCAGCACATTGTTCTGCCGAGAAAAAGTGCTAGAGTTTCAAAAAATCAGTTGGAAATTGGATTTTTTAATTTGTTGAGATTACTGTAATTTGTCTTCCCAAAATACGTTCCTTTAAAAACCTACCGTAGTAAAAAATCCAAAACAAATCTACCTACCGTAGGCACCAGAGGTTCTAAGAGAGTACCGGTCAATAAGGTATAGAAAAATGTCTTTTTCAGTAGACTTTTGGCATTTTCAGAAGTCTAGAGCTCGTCTGTCAAGTTTCCAATTACTTTGAACATTTTAATTCATTTGAAAATTGATTCTAAAAATTTCGAAACAGCAATTTTTTAAAGCTACAAGAACAAATTAAAACTCTGTGTTGGGTATCACCATGACCAGAAATTTTCCGATTCTTGGATTACTGTAGATTCTTAATTATAAGAAATATTTAAATAAACTATTTGGGCTTTCTTCGGTGAACTTTCGCTCTCTCAATTCCTTGGTTATCTGTTGATTTTTAAAACAGCATCTTTTTTCAACGTCAACTTTGAGCCACTTTATCTCGGTTACTGTAAGAGATATCAAAAATGTGTCAACTGATGAATTATATCTGATAATATGATAAACATTTTATTAATTGACCACTTATTGATATCTTTCACAGGAAGCGAGATAAATGGCTATATGGTTACTGTACTCCCTTGAATAAACTAGAAACACTTTTTGGGGCATATTTCCGCGATATTGTAGTTTTTCGATGCAATTTTGGCATATTTTAGGAACTTTTTTCGCAGTTTTTTTTTTCGTAAAGATCTTTTAAAGGGACATACTTTTTCAAAAAATAGTTTCAAAAAATGTGAACGTCCAATTGAAGAAAAAATGAAGCTATTATTCTCTGAAAATATTTTGAAACAGTACATTTTTTCAACTTCAACGTTGAACCAATTTATCTCGGTTCCTATCAGTGATATCAAAAAGCGGCCAACTAATAAAATATTTCTGATAAAATAATGTACAGTACCGGACAAAACGAAATCAACTTTTAGTTTTACGAGGGTATCTCGAAAACTATGAGAGCTAGGACTCTGAAATTTCGTACGTATGTTTTTGAAAGGCTCAGAAATACTTCAAAAAAAAATATCAAGTCCGCAGACACCATATCAGACGCGCAATTGCAAAAATTGAGAAAAATGGACATTCGCTTAACAGGCAACAGTTTCATTAAACATTACAAAAAAACAAAAATCACTTAAAAATAAAGCGGGAAGAAAATGAAAATAGTTTAATACTTGGTTGGGTATCCTTGTTGTCAATCACGGCCTGGCAGCGTCGAGGCATGCTATCAATCAGAGCATCAATTGTTGAACGAATTTCTGGTCCGCGTTGGAGGCAAATTTTCCTTTGAGGCGTCTCTCCAGCTCCTCCCAGAGTGGTTCGATAATATTCAAGTCGGGACTTTGGCTTGGCCAAGGCAGAACGTTCACATGACGCCGATTGAACCAATTCCGAACATGCAAGGACGTATGTTTTGGGTCGTTGTCCTGCTGATAAGTGAACGACCGACCGATGGACTGACGAGCAAATGGTCTTATATGATTCTCCAAGATCGATTCATATTGAAATCTATCCATTAGACCCGAAATGCGGACTAGAGGTCCCATACCGTACGCCGAAAAACATCCCCAAACACAGATCGATCATGTTTCATGGTTGGAGTTTGGTACTGGGGCGAGTACCTGGTGCCTACCGGACGTCTGATCCACTTGACACCATCACTTCCGAATAAATTGTACTTGGATTCGTCAGACCAGAGTACAGATTTCCACTCAGCGCGTCCCCAACCAACATGAGCCTTTGCCCAGTCAACACGGATTTTTCTGTTTTTGGCATTGATGAATGGCTTCTTGGCTGGTCTTCTTCCATTCAGTCCAGATTAAGCCAGCCGACGTCTGACAGTTCTGACGTGAGGTACGGGAGTCATTGGACCATCCACGATCGCTGAAATTTCCCCAGCGCTCAATCTTGGATTCGTTCTCGAGGTCATCACTATATTCCGATCGGTGAGATGATTGGTTTTCCGTGGTCTTCCCGGAGATTTTCGTATGACAACGCCTTGTCGCAGCTGAAACAAGAATTTTACAATAAATAAACATGATTCCCTAACCTGATATCTCTTATAAATCCTAGTAATGGATGATTTTGCAAGGTTGAATTGAAGAGCCAGATCCTTGCGCTTCAGACCCATCTGGATGCCCTGAACGACCGCTTCTTGGACCGCGAAAGTAGACGTTTTGTTGTTATGTTTTCTACCCATCTATAGGAACAAAACTCATTACAAACAAACCGAAAAAAATTGAAAAAAAAACAAAAAAAGTGAAAACTCTGAAAAACTGAAAATTCGAAAATATGATTTTTTTAGCAATTGCGCGTCTGATATGGTGTCTGCGGACTTGATATTTTTCTGAAATATTTCTGAGCCTTTCAAAAACATACGTACAAAATTTCAGAGTCCTAGTTCTCATAGTTTTTGAGATACTCTCAAAAAACTAAAAGTTGATTTCTTTTTGTCCGGTACTGTATATTTTACCAATTGACAATTTTTTGATATCTTTTATAGGAGCCAAGATAATTGAGCACAAAGTGAGCTGATCCTGCTACCCACTTGTAAGGTCAACCTAGGACTTTGAGCTCAATTATCTCGGTTTCTATAAGTGATATCAAAACGGTGTTAACTGATAACATTTAACTCATAACGTGATAAACATTTTATCAGTTAATCACTTTTTGATATCACTAACAAGAATCGATATAAATTGGCTCAAAAATGACTATAAGGGCGGTTTTTGCCTCGCAACGGTAAACGTTTGATTCTCAGCCGAAAAGTAGAAGCAAAATTTATTATTAAAGGTTTCAAGTTAAAAAAATACAGAAAAAATGATTACAGTATTAGTAGTAAGAAGTTTGAATTTTAAAAATGGTCCAATCAACTCTAATTCTCTTGTCTCTCCACCCAAATCTTGTGGTCCTGCACATCATGTTGTGCTCCATGAGCCAGACATCGATCCGCTGACGCCTTCTCCTCAAAAACTACAAATCCATCGGCACGTGGAGTGATTTCAATTTGTTCAACGATGCCAAACGATTCGAAATATGAACGAAGCGAGTCTACAGTATGAATTGAGCATTGAATTTGATGGAGAGCCAATTTAGAGCCGGGATTTGGTGGTGGGAATTTGGGAAGTGAGGATTTTTGATTGATTGATGATGATGATGATGATTGCTCATCATTATTGCTCATTTGCTCTTTTGGAATTGAACGTTTCAATTCGACCTGGAAAAAACGCGTTAATTTGAATCGGTAAATTTTTAGGCAATATATCTCGGTTCCTATAAGAGATATCAAAAAGCAGTCTACTGATAAAAAATTACTGATAACATGATGAACATTTCGTTAGTTGACAAGTTTTTATATCTCTTACCGTAACCGAGATAACTTAGCTCAAAGTGAGCTAATACTGCAACCCGCTTGCAAAGTTGACCTACTACTTTGAGCTCAATTATCTCAGTTATTGTAGAAGATAACAGAACGTTGTTAACTGATAAAATGTTTATCATAATATCAATTATAATTTTTCAGTTGACAACTTTTTGATACCTATTAAAGTAGCCGAGATAAATTTGGTCAAAGTTTACAGAAAAACAAGGTATGGAGAGAGCGAAAGTTTTCCTGCTTTAATCAATTCTAATGATTTGCAGTTTAAATACAAGTACAGTAATCCAGAACTCAATTATCTCTATTACTGTGAAAAATATCGAAAACTGGTCAACTGATAAAATGTTTATCATAAAATCAGCAACATATTATCAGTTGACCATATTTTGATATCTTTTACAGTAACCGAGATAAATGAGCTCAAAGTGAGCTAATACTGCTACCAGCTTGCAAAGTCAACCTACGACTTCGAGCCGATTTATCTGGGTTACTGTAAGAGATATGAAAATTTTGCCAACTGATAAAATATTGCTGATAATATGATAAACATTTCATCAGTTAACAACTTTTCGGTATCTCTCACAGTGACCGAAATAATTGAGCTCAAAGTTGAAAGTTTCTTAATGGAAAATTACTGTTTCAAAAAATGAGCAGAAGATTATGGTGTGGACAGAGCAAAAGTTTTCATATTGCACCCTTCCTTACCAATATACAGTTCAACGAATACAGTAGTCCAGAACTTAACTATCTCACTTCGTGTAAAAGATATCAAAAAGTGATCAGCTGATAAAATGTATCTGATAATATGATAAACATTTTATCTGTTAACAACTTTTTGATATCTTCTACAATAACCTAGATAACTGAGCTCAAAGTGCAAGTTTTTGAAAAACATTTTCTTCAGAGCATTTTCTTCAACTCAATTTATCTTGGTTACTGTAGAAGATAACAAAAAGTTGTCAACTAATAAAATGTTCATCATGATGTCAGTAACATTTTATCAGTTGACCGCTTTTTGATATCACTTACAGTAACCGAGATAATTGGCTATTAAGAAGTACTCACCATTCTCCCATTAATCTTATGCGGACCATTTCGAATGGCCATTTCGGCACTGGCAATCCATGCAAAAGTGACGAATCCAAATCCACGAGATCTTTGAGTCGCGTTATCCTTCATCACTACGGTATCAACCACTGGACCGAACTGAGTGAAATACTCGCGGAGCTGAAATTTTTGAAATTTCAGAAAATTCCTTTAAAAGTTCTAAAATTCTAAAATTCTAAAATTTCAGAAAATTCTAAAATTCTAAAATTCTAAAATTCTAAAATTCTAAAATTCTAAAATTCTAAAATTCTAAAATTCTAAAAAATTCTGAAAAAAAGCCAAAAATTCAGTAATTCAGCAAACATTGCAGTTTCAAAAATTCCCAAAAAAAAATAATTTTTAAATTTTCCATTGCTCATTTTTTTTTAAATTTTTTCCAAATTTTCGAATTTTCCAGAGCCGGAAGCACCTTTCGAATCATTTTTTAAGTGTAAATTTTGAAAAAAAAAACAGTTTATTGAAACAGTTTTTTGTTTGATTTTCGACCCCTCTAATAGAAGGGCCCCTATAAAAGAAGGGGTATTACGGTATTTGAGATCCACAAGAAGAATTCATATCAGTTTTGAAATCGAAATTTCCAACAAAAATCTTTGTTGAAACAGTTTTTTTTCTGATATTTTAGGAATTTTTTGAAAATCTAAAAAACTAAGAAACCTACTAAAATCCGTAAAATCTCACCTGTTCTTTATTAGTGTCCATATTCAATCCACCAATGAACAGTTTTCGATGTTGAATGAAATTTGTGAAATTGATAGAAGTCGGTGGCGACAACATCTGAAAAATTTTGGTTTTTATAGCTGAAAATGAGAGGAAAATCTGGAAAAAAACGCTGAATTTTCAAAAGAAACTCCTGCAAAAAATATGACTAATAAATCCGAAAAAAAAATGTAAAAAATTGAGAAAATCAGAGGTCGTTTTCCCCAGGAAATGAGTCATTTCTAATGGAGGACAATAGAAAAAACAAACGGAAAATCAATATCCCGCGCGCGAAATTCAAAATTTGATCTCCTGGAAAAAAATTAGGCATAAAAAGACCCCCTAATTAGTCGTAATAATGGGAATTGAGCCTCTGGGAAAAATGTGGGACATCTGGGCAACAGACACACAAAGAGAGGTTTTTGGAATTTTTTGGGTTTCTGGGGTACGACGAATTCGAACGTTTTCAAAATCGAACAGACCTAAAGTCGAGCTGATTCAAATCAGAACAGTGTCTTTCTCGAACAAGTATAAAAACAGAACAAGGACAGAATCGAACTGTACTGAACTGCACCATGTTCCTCCTAAATTTAGTTTCTAAATCATATAATTTTTTTCCGTCTCACTTTTAGCATGATCTTTGCCTGCTTTTTCCACGTACGGCAAATGTGCCAACGGTACAGTTACCGGAAACACTTTACGAAACCCAGCCCAAAAAACGTTAGCTTCATCTGTCATAACATGAGCTGGATTGAAAGATGGATAAAGCTCTTTGATACACTTGAATAGCTCTTCAATATCAGAAGATGTAGTCGAGTGGCTCAACATAAACGCTAAAAAAATATTAAGCCTTCAAAAAACGGGTGTGCTCATACCAACTGGGACACCTCGATCATAGCCATCACAGACAAGCATAGTGCTCAACTTTAGGTTATATTTTGTGCAATGATGGGTGTCGTCTAGTGTTACGCCACGATGGGAATATTTAGCCAAAAATTCCAACTGTTGTGGGGTTACAATAACTGAAAAAAGTTGTCGAAAAAAAAGAAATAGAGAATAGGTACTGTCTATTCAATAAAACGTGGGCGACGCGGCAATCATGACACCGATGGCCGAGTCGAGTTGACGAGCACGCAAACTGGCCAAATACGCGCATCGGTACACGATGAACGGCAGTTTTTCGGCACGGAAGCGAAATCCGGCGGTTCCTGGAAATTTTCAAAAATTCAAAAAAACAATTTTTTTTTCAAAAATTCGAATTTTTTCCTTTAAAAAGTATAAATTTCAGCTTCTTCTCCGTCTTCCGTACCATATGCAAACTGCTCGTCTTGCGGAATCGAGTGCACCTCGCCAGTGTGGGTTGTGTTGCCGGCTCGGGTGTATTGGGGTGGAAATTCGAGATTCGCCATGGTTCTAACCTGAAAAACTAAGATTT